AACTACCAAGCCCTGGCTAAGTGCAGGAGCTCTGATTTTACTCACTTTTACCAGTTCAGATATATTGCTAAATCTCTTCTTCTAATTTACATAATTCATTAAGATGGAGATAAATGGGTCATTTGAGATCCAAGACTCTCTATCACAGATATCTTTCATTAATATATTTTATAAGTTTAAAGAAAAACTTCTCTAAGTCTTCCATTTTTCACATTTCACAGCCGGACTTCTTTCATTAATTTGCTACCTTCCTGTCAAAAAGCCATGCCTAGATCCCAGAAATATCCACACACGTGCCGAGGTTACAAAAAACACTTCACCTCTCAAGTACCATTCAGAGGTACATAAACCAGGAACAATTACCTCTGAAAGCAATATGAAAACATGATACAAAATAATTCAGAGAGAGTCAGACCAATGCAAGCCTTACTCTTTGTATTACTCTGTATTGCCAGCATTTGCATTTAAAAAGTGCATTACACTACTGTGTCTTGGTCTCCATGCCCTTTTTTGACTGCTTCTCTTGAGCCAGGGCAGCCTTCACTAATGACCCCACCGTCAAATGAAACAGAAATACAAACACCACGCATCACCCAAATGATTCAGAATTGATCAGAATTATGATTCTCTTGTACCATTTATTTATTTTGCAGCTCAGTTTGCTCCAGGATACTTATAAGTAAAATCTGTAAGCATAGTTCTAACAATACTCAATTCTCCCAATGGTTTTGTTTATAAAATAGTCTAAAATAAGGTGGATAGAAGTAGGACTCAAAGCTTTCTGAAAGTATAGAAGTTAAAAATAGAGGAAGCTTAGAAATCACAAAAATGCACTAGGACCATCCTTTCTTTTCCTACCTTAAATGTTTGTCCTTAATTCACAAATCAGCAGCTACCACAGTATGGTCCACAGAAATTTGGAAATTCACAGCTGCTTCATAGGAAGCCAAAGAGGACAGCTAATCACTCAAACCCTCCTCTTTCCTGCAGGCATCCTCAGAGCACCAGCTCTGTCCCCATCAAGGCTGATAACTCAGCACCCCAGAGCTACTTGATGAAAGTTATATGTACATATAAATAATGAATAAGCAGAATTTCTTGGGATGAGGAAGTTTAAAGCTACAAACAGATAAAACTGACAGCTAAAGCCATCATGTATTACTCATAAGTTATAAAAGCAAGAATTATTATAGATAATGTAGAAATTCAAAAAATGTGTTTGGTCAGCAGCATTAGCAGCAACCCAGAGAACAGTAATAATGGAAAGAGACCAATTTTCCAATCACAAATTCTTGAGGCGAGACCTTGCAATAAGAAAGAGCAGATTAAGAAAGATTGGCAAAGGGCACTACTCTAGTCTGGTTCCTTTGAAAACTGTAACAGCAAGGAGATGTGATTTCCCAGTGGGAATTTTAACCGTCAGCAAGGAAAACAAATATGGTTGGGTTTTATTTTCTTTCTAATTATTTGACTTTTCTTTAGCTACCAGACTAGCAGCTTTAACCTAAAAAGAAGTCAAATTAAATTATTTAATGCCACTCTCATGAGCTTCTAGGATTTCAAGTGTTCTCATTTATAATCCAAGCACAGAGGAAAATAAATATGGTTGGGTTTTATTTTCTTTCTAATTATTTGACTTTAACTACAAGACTAGCAGTTTTAACCTAAAAAGAAATCAAATGAAATTATTTAATGCAACTCTCATGAGCTTCTAGGATTTAAAGTATTCTCATTTATAATCCAAGCACAACAAAGTTTAAGTAATCTTAGTTCAGAGATTGATAACCAAGATATAGCAACAAGCTTCCACATGGTAAGGCTGGAGAATCCTCAATTAGTTTAAAACTCCTTAATGAAGCACATCAACACATGAGTCTGCTCACTGCATCCTTATCTGCACACATCTTAAAAGACTAATTCCACCAGTTTGTAGATATCCTTTCTGACATTTTAGATACTTAACAGCAGGCAGACTTTTTTGTTCATGTGAGTTCCTGACCAGATCTTTAATTCTACTGTAATAACAAAAAGTTATATCATGCACTCCATAGATCTAGTTTATCTTTTTTAAAAAGTAATAATCATTTATGTGGGTTTACATACAGGATTTTTTTATGGAAATGAACATGCAGTTCATACAGAAAGCAGAATCCTCAATTAGTTTAAAACTCCTTAATGAAGCACATCAACACATGAGTCTACTCACTGGGTCCTTATCTGCCCACATCTTAAAAGTCTAATTCCCCCAGTTTATAGATCTAGTTTCTGACATTTTACATATTTAACAGCATGCAGACTTGGTTGTTCATGTGAGCTCCTGTCCAAGTCTTTAATTCTACTGTAATAACGAATAAATGTTATATTGTACACTCTGTAGGTCAAGTTTACCTTTCTAAAAAAGTAATAATACTTTATGTGGGTATGTAGGGGATTTTTATGGAAAAGAATGTGCAGCTCAGACAGAAAGACATGGAAAGACTAATGAATATTCTACTTGTGTTTGGATAAGGCTAATTAAGTTGCAGAATCACTATCCCAGGTAGAACCTTTCCTGCACCATAGACTTTTATGGTATTTGGACAGTGAGAACAATTATTTAGGTAGCACAATGAGTCTTGAAACATCAAAAAGTCTGTCATAAATCTAGCAATTAAATAAATATTAGTAAAGTCACATATTTTCCTGCACCTTTTGCCTCCTTGAAAGGAGCTGTTCACAATTACAACTGCATTCTCAGTTATTTGCTTAGGTCATATAACACTAAGGAACACTTGCTTTCCTGAACTAAATCTTCAATTATAAGAAGCATTTCATTTTCTTCCTTGTCAAAAAGAAAAGAAACTATAGCAGTATAATCAGGACATGCAGCCTTCCCATCAATAACATAACAGGCAGACAAAGATATTCACCATTTTTATCAAGTGCAAATTCCACCTCCTTTTCACCCATATTTCCCATGGTTTTAACAGTATCACCTCAACCATTCATAAACTATTCTAGCATTTCATTATTGCTATATCCAAGACCTCCAACCACCACACCCTCCATCCCTCTTAGTTGAAGTTCATGTGATTCCTTACAGCTAAGAATAATTAGCCAACCTGCATATTTTGGCACAGCTAGATAACATCTTACCTGAAGGCACTAATTACTTTTAATGTGGCCATCTCCACATTTTCTCTGGCTGGCAAGAACATAAGCACATTAAAACAGTCCACATTGAAAGGCTTTCTCCAAGGGATTTTGACAAACTCCTCAGTGGATAAACTGGGAGTGATTTGTCAGGGCTGGTGACATATTTTATACCTTCTGCACTGATATTTCCCACTGGATTTGATAAATCCAGGTTTAGTCAGAGAAATCACAGAACTGCTCAAAGCAAACCTTATGTAGCTTAAGCTGAGAGTTTGAGGGGAACCAAACTGTCTTTGTGTCTGTTCAGAAGAAGATTATGTTTAGGGCTGTTTGAACCACCTGAAGTACAAGGCTGCAGGGTTTCAGACAGGGAGCTTTGGAATATGCTTAGACACACCCCATTCTGTCCCAATAGGACTGTTAGTGAGGCCTTGCACTCAAGGCTGATTTGACAACATCAAAAGACAAAGCCATGTCAGGCAGGTGTGTAACAATGCTCCATCTCTGACCACCACACCAGGAACACCTGCCTTTTCCTCCTGCTCTGAGAGAAGCAAGCCCCTCTAAAGAGATACATCTGCAAATAAAGTATAGCTGGAGCACGCTAACACTAATGTTCAAAAAGCAGGAAACTCCTAAACACTGCTGAAGGAACCAAGCACCAGCTGTAGGTCAGCTCTGCAGCAGATCCAGTGAATCTGGAATCCACCTGGTAAGCATTTCAGCTGCTAATCCAGCTCAAATTCTGTGGTCACAGCTGTGGGTGTAGATGTGGTTATAATTCCCAGCAGTCAGCACTGAAATGCCAGAGCTAAACCATACTGTTGTCTTCTTACTTGTTATTACCTAAAAAGCTTTGCATGTTCTTGTCTCTGAGTGCGGTTCAAAGGCTTTTAGCACATCTCCAATCTGTTTCTGAACCTTAATCAGGAATTAAACCTGAGGTCTCCATGTGACTTTACTCCTATAGGCACAAAAGCATCAGTCTTTGTCCTTGCATCTTCAACACTTTTGATGATTCAGTTTTCAAAGCCATTGAAAAAAAAAAAGAACATACTACTTGTTTAATAGAACAGATAAATCTAGCAGACATATACTTTAACAAGATTTTCTACCTACAAAAGAAACACAGGCATCTTATTTCAAAGACCATATATATGGTATTACATATAACCTGCTGATGAGTTTTTGTGACTATTTTATGAACTAGAGAAAGGCTTCTTTGGCTTGTCTCTATTATAATCAACTGTCACCTTCCTAATGATAGCAGTAGCCTCATCAGAAGTGAAACAACACATTCCAGTGACCAAAATTTTCTAGAGAAATAAAATAAGCAGGAGGAATTTTAGAAATCCCACAAACAAACCACCCTACAAACAAACAAAACAGCCAACACAAAAAACCAAAGGACAAAAATGCAAAACAACACCCAAAAAAGTCTGATTTAAAAAAAAAATTAACTTTAACTGAAAACAAACACAAACTACAAACATCAACATGAAATTCTTCAAAACATAGAAAGCATACAAAGCTAGTGTTTTTCAGTTACCACAAAGCATGTTTAATACCAGAAAATTCACCTTTTTTGGGCAAACTAATCTAGCACCTTATGTGGAAGCAATCATAGGTATTTAAGCCACTGCAAAAACAAACTCAAAACTACACCTTTACAAGTGCTTTTTGCATACTCACAAAACTATGGACCGATATACTGAAAGCACTGTTATAATAATGAAAAACATTTGAAGAAAAAAAGGATAATACATCACAGCATCTATTGCAATTGAGACGGCCATAATATACAGCGTATCATGACACAATTTCAGAAAGCTTTAAGTATTCAGCCACACAGAGTAACACCTTACCTTTCCTCTTACAGAAGGCTTCAGGTATCTGACTATACAGAGTAACACCATTCCACCTTAGAAGGCTGCAAGCAACTGTTCTTCCTTGTTCTTTTGCACAGCCTTTTATCCCCTCATGCTGATGCATTTCACCTGTGTCCCTCTGCTCCCTTTGGTGGTTGCTCAGTGCCCCTGGGCACTCCATGGCTCGTTACCTTCAATGTCATTCACCTGTCCTGCACAGCTGTGCCCACTGGGGATGAGGCACAGCCCCACTCCCCATCACCACAGACTGTGTGCCTACAGGAACAAAGCAGGTGGTAGAAACAAACCCCACCTTGTTCTAAAGCCACCTGTCTCTGCAAAGGCTCGACCACCCCAGCACTGAAGGGGTGCAGAAGCACCTGCAGCATTAAGCAAAGTACTCACAGGCACAAGTGTGGTGTCATTGGGCAGAGAACTAGCATTGAAATCTCAATCTGTTTTCATATTGTGATACCTGGCCAAACTGAAAACGGGGTAATAGAATCCAGGTAGGGCTTGTCTGACAGACACAATTCCTGAACAGGGTGCTGCAGCAGTCTGCAGGGGAATTGGGCAGGTACTGCAGGCTCAAGGTAGAAAGACACAACACTCTCAGGTGTCACCCACAAGAAGGTCGCATCATCAAAGCAATAGAACCAACACACAGCACCTGGGAACAGCACCTTGGGAAAGAATCCCAAAGGCCTGAGTGCATTGAGGGCCCTGAGTGGCCTCACCTGGGCCTTCCGCAGCCTCACCCGGGCCTCCCGCGGGCAGGCTGCATTTAAAGGCAGGCTGGGGAGATGGCTGCCTCTGCTCCTGTGGTCCTTATGATGTTCCTGGCTTGTTGGAGGTCTTGGTACTGTGTTGTGGCACTGGGGGTCCCCCAGTAGCAGGTGAGGTCTGTTTTTCTGCTGTGCTCACTGTGGGGAATGACTATGGTGGGTGAGGCGGACACCCAGGCTTAGCTTCCCTCAGGGGTCACCTTGCCCTTTCTGAGGGAATGGTCCCACTCTTATTGCCCACTTATGTACAAACAGTATTTCATCTTGGTTTTTCTAACTAAATACATGTGGGGAGCAGCTTTTTTTTGACCCAGTATCTAAAGGCTGTACAAGCCATGTCGAAAAAGCAATTACTACCTTTCACTAGCAGGTTGTTTTCCCCACGTCAAGTCCACAGGTAACAACAGAGGTTATGGCAGCTTTCCACTGGGAAATCTAGCCTGCAAAAGGTAAGGCTTTAGATATCTCCTGGAGGGGGTGGAAAAAATAATTTAGTATGGATCAGAAAAGACAGGAATAGTTGTGGTAAAGTGAAATGTAATTTATAGAGGATAAGTTTTGGGGGTTTTTGTTATGGGTTATTAGGCATGAGGGAGTGTGTCCATGAGAAGACTGGACAAGCAGTTTGTATTCTCCTTCTAAGGACTGAACAAAACACTTTTCTAGGCTGGTGAGGGATATAGGGGCTCAGTGCTGCTTATACTTCCTTCACAAGACATTGAAAGGTGTTCTTATGCTGTGTTAAGCATTGCAATTAAAATAGCCTTATCTGATATATACCAGAGCTTACAATCATTGCAGGATAGGCTACAATAGCGAGCTTTAATACATATGGTTCTTATCTAATTGGCTCTCAAGGAAAAGAAGGAAAAACGGACAACTTACTTCATTGTCCCAGCTTGGACCTTAAATGCATGGTTATTGTCTTCTTTTCCACAGCTATTTGAGCAAGTCAGTTTCTCTGCAAGAGGTTCACTACTGTAGAAACTTCAAGTACTCTTCTGAATGCTAAATAATAGCAGGAGGGGAGCTATGGGTTATTTAAGCTAGAAATTTGCATTCTAAGGTACTCCCGTGTGCATTTGACTTTAGAAATCAGACTAGCTCTTTGATACTTCTCTTTGTTAAAGCTTCAAGCATGTCTTGTCCCTCCAACCTCACAGGTGGGGCAGGGAAACCACAATGAGCTGTTGATTATTGATTCTGCAATCTAAGCTTCATGTTAAAAATGGTTTTGCTGATACATGAAGGAAGCTTTTTAGACTAGAAACATGCTAAATGGATAATTTCTGTCAAATAGTGACAAAAAGATAATAGCTGATGAATTATTGGTTGTAGCTCTGCCTTCAAGTATTGATTTCATATGAAAATTAGCTGGTTACAGGATTTTTTTTTCAAAGTGTTTGTTAAAAGAAAATAGCATCCATACTTTTGTATAGGTTTTTTTTGTTTGCAGTTTGGTTTTGAGCTAGGAAATTTGGTCTTATCTTTTTTACTCAACTTTAAGGACATTCTTTTTTCAGAAATGCAAAAAATAAAGGGTTGTTGTAAGGCCTGGTTAAAGACAGTAAAGCAACTGTGACAAATGAAGTATTTTGATATAGTATTTAATGGCAGACAATGGCTGGAAAAGGTTTTTTTTAAATATTTGTTTCTGACTATCTTCTATAGATCATTAAATCCTTTTCTACTTAGCAAGTTAATCATTCTTGACTGTGCAGAACTACAGTCCAGCCTTTCAGATATTCAAAAAACAGCAGCCTGGCCCTCAGTGTCCGAGGCTGTGGTGTGTAAGGAATGATACCTCAGTTAGTCTGTAGTAGTTATGAATATAGTGAATAGTTTTGTGTTATGGATATCTGCTGTTCTGATGGCTATTTTATCTGACATGAACAAAAGGAATGCAACTGAACTCTGTGAATGTTATACTGATCTTACAAGAGCAAGAAATTACTCAGAACAGATGTGTCTTACTAGATACCTTTGTAGAGTGGAATATTTTGCATTTTACAACTCTACCCTGTAGTCTGAGGGGTCTTTGGAGATGGTCGCTGTCCTTGTATCAAGTCTGCTGATGTGTTTGTATTGGGTGCTTATGGTTTAACAATCTGAGGCTTTCCATTGGAATTTCCTTGACGTTGTGATATGGCATTCAGAATGCTATTTAAGCACTTTTGTTTGCAAGGGTTTTTGTTCATTCAAAGGCTAGGGTTTTATGCCATAAAAAATGAAGGTAAAATGACAAGGTCATTATATCCAAAACAGTTTTCATAAGTTAATTTAAATAGAAAAAAAAGAACTGCTTAATTGCTGTGCATTCCTTGGCTTCTTTGTAATGATCTGAAGCAGTCAACAAAGCAGATTGAAGTGGAAAAGGATTTTACTTTTGTAATGGACTTGTAGTGCAACTTTGCAGTAAGCTAATTGAAAACTGAAATCTAGAGAGCTTGCCATGCAGATAACATTTTGCATTTAAAATGGTGTAGATTTATATCTTTTATGAAATTATTCAAGAAGATTCTGAGGGTTTGTTTTTTGGTTTTTTCAGTTTTGGGTGAATTCTATGATCTTTTAACAAGAAAGATGAAAATTTATACTTTTACCCTGAAACACAATAATGTAACATTTTAAGGAAAAATTATTTTTACTTTTGTAGAAATAAAACAAATGTAGGAAAGCGCTCTGTGTACTTATTTCCATGCAAGAGTGTGTACACAGGTGAAAAGTAATGGAATAGAGGACATTGTAGTTAGATGTTCAAGAACTGGATGGACTTGAGGTTGTGAAAAACTTTTCTTATTGCTTTGTGGAAAGACTCGGCTCTATATTTTTCATACTTTATCTTCCTCTCAACAGTGCTAATTGCTATTCTAGCTATTATGATCATTAATTGAACTTCAGATGAAAAAAAACCCACACATTTATTGCAGCTACAAATCCCACCTGATGCCATAGGTGTAAAGAAAGATGAAAAAGTCCAAGTAGCTTGCAAATTGTTGTATTTCTCATACTTTATCTTCCTCTCAACAGTGCTAATTGCTATTCTAGGTATTATGTTCATTAATTGAACTTGAGATGAAAAAAAATTATTGCTGGTTCTGCTATAGGTATAAAGAAAGATGAAAAATCCAAGTAGCTTGTGAATTGTTTTAATCCATAAATGTTTATACCTATTTTTCATACATTGCTCTGCTGACTGAATGCAAGGCCCATTAACCTTTAAGACTGAAGTTTTTCATTTCAACTTACTCAATTTTGTTATATTTGCCTCCTTCTGATTGTTAATGATGAATAATTCTTCTAATGCATTTGGAACTGGCAAGAAACAAGTTTAATGCAGATATCCTCTAACACCTATTGCCTACTACAATAAGGGTGTGTTGTGAAGGAAAAAGTTGCTTCACTCTGGTCTTGGCATCAGGTGGAATTTGTAGCTGAACAATCTATGACAAAGAATTGCCATTCATGCTAACCAGGACAGCAGGTATTTATTTATTTGTATTTCATGTTTCTCCAGCAGTTTCTTCTCATCTGAGGCATTTAGTAAGGGTGTGATAACCTAGAAATAAAACTCCTGTAACATTATAATTTTCAGACTAAGACAGGCATAAAAAAATTAGGCCTCCATGATTTGATGGTTTTATTTTTTTGTTACTTCAAAGGATGTATTTTTTTTATCTAGCATAGGAGATATGCAACAACATTCAACTTTGTAGATTTTTCCATTTTCTAAAACAATAAAACTACTGGCCCATGTCACATAGAAATTGTAATTTGCCCTGACAAATTAGGCCAAAATATTTGCCTTATAAAATTAATTCTGGTGCTAATACACTGAAATCAGTATGAAAGATTTGCAAAGTATTTATTTGGCAAGGAGGAATGGATGTGACTTTTCTCCCTGTGTAAATAAAAATGTCAGTCCCGCATAATGGCACAATGTCACAGTTTTTAATGGCAGTTTAATCAATCTTCTCAAGGCTTTACCTTACATCTTGAATGGATTCTTATCGCTGAAAAATTCCAGTGCTTTATGCTGTACATGATTAAATTACTGCACTAGAAATAATTTATATATGGCTACATTCTGCAGGTTTGTAGAGATGCTACTTTAAAATGTTTGCATGCACAGACTAAATAGAAACCTTTTTTAAGGAAGTTTTTGAGACCTTTGCCAGTGATAACAAGGAATGGATGATAGGGAATAGCCCAGAAGTGCAAACATGAGTGGTTTTTATCATCTGGGTTCTAAAGGAAAAGGAATAAGCTCTTTGAGGGGACATTTTGCTTCAGGAAGGACAACACCAATTGCCAAAATCTCCCACACCTTTTTCTTGTCCTAAAAAAGAAACCCATGTAATAAAGTGTCCTAGGAAGACTATACAACTAAACTGTCTGTTTTGACTGGAATAGCTATCATATTTTATGGCCTGAAAAATTTGGGTAAAGTGAATTTAGAAATTTCTGAACAATTATGATGCTGGTAGCAGATCTTTTCTCTTATTGAAATTCTATCATTTCCTTCCACCGAAGAATTATCAAAGACAGGTGTCCTTTATTCATATCATATGTATGAATTTTTTCAAGAAACAGTAGGAAAAGTGTTTTTTTTTCTGCAAGAAAAATCTGCCTTAGGAAAGATACATATTTCTCTCTATCATTTTTCTGTACGTTCTTTCCTTCCTCCAGTCTATTACATTCTCATGATCTGCAGGTTGTTTGCATGACATTTTGATATACTTTGATACTCTGAAAAATCTCAGGATTCTGTTAGAAGCACAACACAATGGCAGTTCGACCAATCTTTTCCAATTCTCTTAGTCCTTTCCCCTAGTCTCTTGTTTCTCTTGGTTTGGATTATGGCTGTGAAGTAAATAACCTGGAGAGCAGAGAAGAGTTTGGGGCTGGCTTGTTGCAAGTCTAAAGTTAATAAAAAAAATTGCATCTTCTTAAATCCTTCATGTAACTCATTTAAAAACCTAAAAATAGTTAATCCCGTGTCTATTTTTTTCAAGTTATGAAGAACCAATTTCAGCAATCTGGGCAGGGCTCTTGCCCATACCCAGGAGGAACTGTCTGTATTTACTTTGCTTTTGCACTGAAGCAGAGCTATTCCATCTCTGCTCTCTAGTAACCTCTACTTTTTAGAGTCCAATATAGTAAAATGTGCCAAACAAAGTAAGGGGGAGAAATCAAACCACAATCTGATATATCAGGGAATGCTACAGGGCATGCATATTTTCTTGGAACTTATTAACAGAAATCAATAAATTGTGCTGCTCTTTCCAGCAGCCTTCTTCAAAGGAGTCATTTCTTGTTTGCTTTCTTTTCCTTTGCTGTTGGACATAGGCTTTCTCCTTTTACTGGGATACTTTGAAAGAAGTCAAAAACTTCTTTCAAAAGGGAAAAGTCCAGAATATTTGAGGGGAAAAAAACATTTTCCTAGCTC